TTAAATTTTAAAAATGATTTCGAGCTGGCTCGAATAAACTGCAACGACAGAGACCCATATTACGCAACATTTGTGCTCATTTGTCACCAATAATGCGCCGAATATTACCTTAGGTACCGTCGATTACCTCGGATATCTACAAAAAAAATTTCAGAGGAATTAAGTCACAGAACCTTGTTGGTCACGCCACTAGCGCGGAACGCAAGATAATTCAATAAATGGATGCTTTCTTTGCTTGTATGACATGAAGCATCACCCTCTTGGAACCAAAACTCATCCACAGCAAATTCCTTTCGAGTTCAAGCACGAAAAAGACATTAAGCTAAAGTCATGCCATTACAGTCACCATCATTTCTGAAGAAATGTTCCCTCTGTCCACAGAGCATACCATACAGTGACCTTTTGAGGACGTGATAACGTCTAAACAATCGCTTGTGGATTGTCATCACACTGAATGCGACAATTTTGTTTACTCACATACCCAATCGACCAAAAGTGAACTCCTCCGCTGAAGACAATTTTCTTGTGATAATCGTGATGGGTTTCCATCTTCATTTTAGGCTCACCTACCGAACGTGCGACGCACCCGTTGGCCGTTCGGCTCTGATTCTCCTTCCGGACTTCGAAAAAGGTGAGCTAACAAAGTCCGGAGAAGAAGAAATTCCTGCAGGTGCACAAGGGAGCGGAAGGAGCTCTCTTGGCTTTGTCGCTCTGAGTAGAACAAAGAATTGTATGTGTGAGTTTTACAAAAGAAAAGCAGAATATTACATACATATGAATGTCAATAAGTACAAAAACAAATGGCTCATAATATATATGTATAAGTATAAAAGTTTGTTTTTTTTTTTGGTTTTATACCAAAATAAAAAGATCCCCCGTTAAAGATTTAAGCATGAAAATTTATGTATTTAAAACTGTTCTACAAACGTTTTTGTATTATTAGGGTGGTCAGTAATGTTGACGTTGACTTAAACAACAGCCAAAAGTGAGCTGCTACTTGTAAGTACTCCACCAGCTTCAGCTGGAAATGGGAACCTCTACCATTTGCAACTTCAAATTAGTCCAAAAACCTAAAACACGAGTTAAATATAGACGCAATCACTACGCATTTCTCCTATACAACGGATCTTTTACACGGCACTGCCGCTCTGGATTCTGAATTCGACCTTACTTGGTTGCTATTCTACTTTTAATGAGAACTGTGGACTTGATATGATTATCAAACGATTATCTAATGTCGCACCTAAACTTCTTAGTCTTCCTTCCGTCCTTGAGTAGCCAGCCTTTTTTACATGATTTCAAACTGATGAGTAATGCCTAATGCGTCCGCTAATTCCTGGCGGCTGGCTTGCCGATCTTTCTTCAAAAGTTGCATAATTTCAACTGCTTTTTGGGTGATTAGCCGACTGAAACGGCATCCTTCTGGAACGTACTAAAGCAAAACTACTCCAACCCTCACCTATAGAATTCTCATCGTGAATCACACACATTTTTCTCCACGTCTTAGCAACTCGTCCAACTTTTTTAGTAGTAAAAAAAAATCTTCACTTAATGTATTTCTTCGGAAATTTCACTCGTTTTCAAATCATAATAACTTTTCAAACGCTTGAAGAGCTTTAGAATAGTTTTCACAAAAAAAATGTTGCTTGAAATGTCAGCTTTCAGACACAATCGGTTGAGAGCAACAACACCAACTAGTGACAAAAACCACGGATATTTTTTGTGGGCCAATAATTGAAAGTTTTCATATTTAAATAAACTAAAAAAAAGGAAACAAAAAGGAGAAAGTGGGCACTGACATGTTTGTTGCTTTCCTTGTTGCCCCGAGCCATTGGGAGACGCAAGTCTTTATTATTTTCTCATATGCATAAAAACGTTTCAGTATTTACATATATACAGTGCCAACACATGAGCTTTAAAAAAATAATTATTTCTCAAAAAAGAAAAAAATTAAAATTAAAAATATAAATAAAATTGAGTTGAATTTTCCTCTGAAAATGCTAAGCCATTTCATGTGAAATAATTACGGCGAAATGTAAATCTTGAGATTTTCTTATGTTATCTACAGACGACACAAATTTTAATGCATTTTTCAGCAGAGAAGAGACGCTTTGTTGGTAGATGTTGACTGAAGTAGAATAGGAAATGAAAATTATTTCTTATAAAAGTCAACACATGGACGGCAAAGTCCCGGACCTAAAATCGCAAACACGTTTTTGAAAGGTAGTGTATTATGAGCATTACCTGATAAATATATATACATTGGCCCAAAAAACAAACCTTCTTTTTTGGTGTTAAAACTTGGCTTTTTTCATCAGCGTTGTCTGCATCCTTTAATGGCCGCTGTAGTCGGGCTCAAATCCCTGTGCGACCAATATCAAAAAGTTATAGAAAATTAATTTAAATAAAAAATTAAAATTAAGTTTTCTAATTGTGGTCACCCCTCGGCAGGGAATGTTCACCCCTTCCTACTGTATTTCTGACAGGAAATAACAGCTCCTCATAGAAGAACCATCAGCCACTCGGTGGCGGCTTAGTAGGAACTGTTCTATTTGGTGGAAAAACATCAAGATGCAAAACCAAAAATTGGAGGAGGGGCTTGGCCAACAAATCTCTTCAGAGGTTACAAAGCGCCTATTATATATACATATATATATATATAAATCTGCATCCAGCGCGCGCCGCTCGAAGAATTTGATACCAGTTTTGTGGAAAGATTTCTATCTTTACTCGATATACGGTTCATGGTCATCGATAACGCTTTCATTCGAGCGAAATTCCTCACCGGTGAGCTCAGTTTTTGGGTCAGTGCACAACTAGTAGTCGCTGTGAGCCAAATCTGGTGGATGCGGTGGGTGTGAGGGCAATGTAGTTATGACTTCGTCTTTTTTTGGCTTGTTCCACTCCCACATAGTTTCTTTTCTTGATGAGACAACTTTTTTTCCGCCCTGTACGCTCTTTAGTTCACAATGCCAACCACTTGGATGTCGCGGCCACGGCCAATTCGAGTCCTCGTCCAAACAACAACCAATTATGCTCATCCATCGGTAGGGAATGTAAATCGTTCCGAATGTATTCCATCGGAGGTAGCTTAGAATAAATCTTGGGTCCCTCTATTTACTGGAAAAACACCACAACTGCGAAGTAGCGCCATCTATGGGTAAGGTCCGGCACTTTTCAGCCCAAGTGTTATTTGAATAATTTTAAAAAGGAATTATATAAGTATGTTGCTATATAGGTGTGTGTAAATCCAGCCAGGTAACCAGGCACATAATGCATTTATACACATTCATTGTCATTATATGAAATTTATATGTACATATACATATATGCACAGGTATAGTGCCACATGGCCATGCTTATGAAATATTACACATTTTGTAAGGCACACTTTTGTTCGTGTGCGCTTGTATTTATGCTTGCATGTATGTACACGTATGTATGTATTGTTGCGAAGATGAATTCTGCTCTTATCTAAAATATGTGCGCCATATGGCACGTGCCACATGCGGCTGCTCCATTGCAGCGACATTCGCATTAATATTACAAAGTGAAGATCTTACGGTAGATTCCTCTGCATGTGTGCGTGTGTGCGCATATACACGCATATACACTACACTTCATTCAAATGTAAGCGAAATGCGCTTCTTGTACGGAGAGTAGGTGAAGATATAAAATGAAAGAGAAAAAGGATTTGGCACTCAACATCAGCGCAACAAAAATTCAAATTTAAACGACGGCCGCTGTTGAGGCTGCCGCCGGTGGCATTTATGACTACTGACAACGGCCAACGACAACTTTTTATTATGCAAAGTAAAAATAAAACTCTGCGAAATCACTTCGGTAAAGTACCTGAAGTGCGCATTTTGTGTGCAAACAGTTAAAGGCGTCTTCTGTCATCTTCAACTTGGCGCTTAGTTTATCCTCGCACGTATTTGCAAGCTGTTAAACGGTGCAGATCTGTTTCTTTATTCTATTTTTCTGTGTACATAATTTCTTTTCACAACCACCTCAGCGCTGCCTACCTACTGGGAAACGATCTAAAGGCACGACTTCCGAATGGTTGTAGTAGTACTATTCGGAGGGCCCAGTGCGAGTTCTTATCCGACCAATATCAAAAATTAAGGAAAATTTATTTTTTCTAATTACGGTCGCCTCTCGGCAAGGGCCTACAAGTGTATTTTTGACATGAAATAAAAAGCTCCTAGTAAAAAGGCATCGACCTTTAGGAGGCGACATAGACTAAAATGTGGGTTTCTACATTTTGCTGAAAAAAACATCAAGATGTACTCCACTAGTTTGAGCACGAGCCCGGCCGAACATCGTTTTAGCTGCTACAAAGTTAACAGCTCGTATTGGGCAACTCCTTTCCCATCCCATCATACACTTAGCAGCACCTTGTTTGCTGTCGGTTCCGACATTAAAATGATTTGTAGTCTTATATTTACCACGTCGCTCATTATGAATCCTTTCGGAAGTGCTTGGATTTTATCAGATCGAATCGGTCCAATAAGATTCACTGTTAATTACTTCAGAACCGAAAATCATATCAGGGAAGAATAGAAAGATAATTACCATACTCCAAGTGGCAGCCTAGAAATATGCATGGTTTGGATCAAAGCTTGAGGGTGTTTACTCAAGGAACACTCCCATGGAACTCTCTTTCAGGCTACCTTACAACTGCGGTGTCTTTCAAGCGCAATCGCAGCCAGCTTTAAGGACAAAGATATCAGGCAGCACTGCGCTCGCTTACACTAAAATCCACAATTGCACCAGACTGTCGCCGATCTCAATAGGAGATGACCAAGCATAGCAGGCTGTTTCTCACAGTGACATCGCAGGAAATTGCTTGGCGAATGAACTTGCAAGGCTAGTTGTAAAATGGCACTAATCTCTTGAAAATAAAGCAGAATAAATTACTTATGCTCATTCATGTGAAATTCACTAAACGTTTTTAACAAATAAAGTAATTTCCATACTTCCGCTTACTTTTCTTTCAGATCCCTATCGCCATCCTGCAAGACGCAGCATACATTGATGCATTGCAAAAACCGCCGTCGCTATTCAACAGCTACACAAGGCATGCGTGAGCCGCGACCGGATACACCGCCACCGCAACGGCGCAGTCGCTTCAATAGCTTGCCAAAGAATGCGCTCATCTTCCTCTCCCGCCAACCCAGCCAAGCAGCGAACAACAGTACAGAAGACGAAGCAAAAACATCTACAAATCACCCCGACACGGAAATGGGAATGGAAAAGACGAACAAAACACAAAGAGGGCGCAGCAGCAATGAAAAACAAGTGGAGTTGCCACCCATATGCACTTGTCCGTACTTCGGTGAACGACCGCTACGGAATTGTGTTAAGCCGGCGGAAGTGAAAATCATACCGACCACTTTCAAGGTGACCAATGTTATAGAAATCGAAAGTTTACTCAATCCGCCCGATGAGGAATTGAGTGGTATTTTAGTGACGACAAATAACACGCGCAGCAACGCTAACACACATCTCAGTCCAAGCTCCGCCGAGCATATGATCAACAATCATAGTGCCAGTACGCTGACGGTGCATTCCAGTGATGGCAACACAGACGGTTACCTAAGCGTCAGCGGCGCGCCCGGTACACCTTGCGCTGGACGACGAAAACTCAGCATATCAAAGACTGCTTCAGTGGTGACATGGGATGCCAGTCGCCATCGCCGACGTGGTTCGAGTTTTGGCAGCGCACGTACTACACTACTGCTAACGCCAACCAAGACCGGCCTCAGCACATCCTCCTCGGCAACGCCACTGCGACGCTCCGCCACACTACGCAGCCACAACAACATGAATTATCTGCAAGTCTCAACGGCAAGTGATGGCGCGGATACGACAAACCGTTTACGACCACGCTCAACTACACCACATTCCTCGCCATGTCTGCTGCAACGCAACCAAACCGTACGCTCACATCATTCACGTAATTCAAGCGTAATTTCGCGAAATTCCTCACGTCACGGCCGCATCATCAAACTGGAACAGAAAGCCACCAAAGTGCTGGGTGTGGTTTTCTTCACATTCGTCGTGCTATGGTCACCCTTCTTCGTGCTCAATCTATTGCCCACCATTTGTGGTGACTGCGAGAAGCACATAGCACATTGGGTTTTCGATGTCGTCACTTGGCTGGGCTACGCCTCGTCCATGGTGAATCCCATTTTCTACACGACTTTTAATAAAGTTTTTCGAAAAGCATTCAAAAAGGTACTCACTTGCCAATACTCCAGCAAGAGAACGTGGAATCCGAGTATGTAGCAGCAGCTGGAGATCACAAAGACCAAAATTAAGCAACAACCCTCAGATGCGAGTTCGTCTGGTCTACTGGCGTTGCTTAAACGCCGCAGCTCGTCGAGTCGCAGTGCTAGTCGTAGCAGATAGATAACGGTGTATGGGGAAGACTGTGTACAGTTGTGAATGTGTGCATGTGTGTGTGTGTGTGTGTGTGTGTGTGTGTGTGTGTGTGTGTGTGTGTGTGTGTGTGTGTGTGTGTGTGTGNGGGGGGGGGGGGGAGAACTGTGAAGTGTTTGGGTCGGCGTATGCATTTTTGAGGACTTTGTGGACGTGTATAATATGTAGTAATAGTTTAGTTATGTAAGTAAATTAATATTTTATTAAGCCCGTAGCTAGACGGTGTGCTGCTGAGCTCGTAGTTATGCATAGTTATACTCGTAAGCATGTGTATATGTATGTGTGCGGCTCGTAGCAAGAGTTAGTGTATCTTACAAAGAGCAGCGAAAGTCAGTGGCATAAAGTATATATGCATATATATGTGTGTATATATGTATATGTGTATCTATGTATAAGTGTGTACATGGAACAAAAGAGCACCGTCTTAGACATTCATCAATCTCTTTCACTCCATAAGCATGCGTGCGTGCGTGCATGCGATCTTTCGTCTATACCGTTATACAAGTACCCTGACGAGCATGTGCGCACTATGTGACTTTCATACAACCCAGATGCTTTCAATTAATTTCACTTCATTTACCTACGAAAACGAGTTGGATTTTAGCATATATTGGCTATTATAACGGTACACAGCAACAAACATACTCAACAAATTTGTATTTGCTTAGGTTTATGGGCTATAATGAATAATGGATTCAGGTCACCACGTATTGAGACATGAAGTTGATGGATGAAGTATCACGATGTGTCGCATGTATGTGAATGTGCGTGTGTGTGTATGTGTGTATGACCAGAGCAGTTGGTCGCATTGTGTGTACACAAGACAATGCTACAATACCTGCTAGCTTCAGGAAAGTTATGAAGTTTTATGGCTCCTAACGCGAAGGTTAAGGTGGTTTCCATGCAAAAGACTGTCGGAAATGGCGAGCTTCAAGAGTCAACCACAATATTCTTAAGCAGTTTGTGGACATTTTTATGAATTTATATTCGGAATTCCGTTAATTTGAATCAAATTTGCGCAAACTATGCTACTACTTGGAGTGCATGGGTTCCAATAGAATTCCACTTTTCAGTAGACTTAAGTGCGTAACACGTTCTATCAGTTGCCATAACAAAAGTCCAAATATTGACAAGAAAACAGGCTACGCACTATTTTCCACTGGGTGGTGTTGATACTCCGGGCAAGATTAATTGTGTCTTTGTGTCAGACTAACTCGCCTATAAGAGCGGACATTTACATAAATAATAATAAGCCCAACAAATACGCTCCATCCGCCCAACCGATACGAGAGGCGACATCCGCATAACGTACAGATTATGCCGAGTCATGATTGGGAAGCGTTTGTTAAGCGCCGAGATTTAAAACAATTGAAATTTAGTAATTATGGCATCTAAAAATTTAATTGTTGAGAGCAGTAAGAATAGCTTTTTTGATGCTAAAAAGTGATTCTGAGAGATCGAAGGTGCCGAGATGAAAATTTCTATTGTGACACAATCGGCGAAAGGATTCATTCAATTCGTAATTTCGTTTACATGATTTTAATAGTAAAGGCCTATACAGCTTAGATACACGAGTGGGCACATTAAAGTTTACCTCAGATAAAAACCACGAACTACAAATTGATCCGTTAAGGTGACCCTCTCCTGATATTGGGCAAAAATCAAGCAAAATTTGTATTTTTTTTATAGGAGAATGAAAAGGCGTACGAACTTCCGGTTTTCATTATTAAATTTGTTTATTATTTGAGATTTTAAGCCGGGTAAGAAAATAGTCGAAATTGAAAATGACGTCAAGAAAATGGCGTTTTCCGTCGGTCTCTGCGCGAAAAACATGAGCCAACAACTTCAGGCCTACAGCCTCTTGTGGTAGACTGAAACCAAAAATTGTTGTCATTACTTGAAAATCATGAAATTTTATACGTCCTGAATCTCAATTGAAACAATTGTAGCGATAAATATATTGCAGAATGCTCAGTTAAATTTTTTGCTACTTTTTTCACTTCAATTGGGTTAAAAAATATATATACAAAAATAGTTTGAAACAGTTTTCAGATAAAAGAAATCGCACGGATTGATCAATCCTGGGACTTAAAAATAAATCGGAAAACATTGTATCGAGAAAAACGCGCTCAAAGTTTTTTGAAAGTTCGGAGCGCGCGTGAAACAGGTGTGTTCGAGAAGCTGCCATTTGGAAAATATACTCATACTCAACAAATATATGGCTTTCATTTTTTGCGTAAAAATATCGATTTTTTTTTATCCAAAATCAGGGGAGGGTCCCATTAAGAAGATTCACTACGAACAATGCGCATATCAGTTCTCTACGACTTACGAGATTAGGTAGATTTGGAAGCCTTAAACGGTTATTATCGGGAGGAAGATTTATCGTAGAGCTCCATCGGGAATGTCCTAACGCAAGAGTGAAAATCGTTTTTGAACAGACTTCAACTTATCGGAATGAACATGATAATTGGGGTACCATATAAGTGAACTATATTCTAGTATTGGCCTCACCAAAGTCGTATAAAGTGATTTGGTTACAAAGGGTCTTTGAATTCTTTTGACCAACTTTTGACACAGGCAAAAGCATTTTTGGCTTTTAAGACAGTGGTATTTATATGAAGATGGAGGTTGAGCTTAAGGTCCATCATAACCACCAAATCAACAAAGTTAAGGAAAGTCTTTTAGACTAAAGTTATGAATTATATAAGGAGAAGGTTGAAAAAGTCGAGGTGAAAAGCACATGGTCTTACACTTCTTAAGGTTCAAAGGCATGTCGTTGTCATCATGCCAGATAGCTAAATTGTCTAAATCATTTTGTAACAAACGTCTTTCGTCGAATGTGGTATATGACTTAAAAACTTTGACATTATCTGCATAGAACAAGATATTTGAATGCTATTACAATATTACCGAATTTTCCAACAAATCGAGGAACCTACAATTTATTCCTAGCCTCCTCTAAAAGGCTGGAGGTCTTGACATTTTCTACCGAAGGGAGACTGGAACTATGAAAAAAGAATTTTCTAAAAAATTTCAGATGTTGGATGTTGCTCATACCAGTACTCGAACACAGGCCCTTTGAATGTTCCCTCCGCTTCCATCAGCGGGTACTGTATCGAATACTTTCAAAGCTGAAGTGCTTTCATCCATTCGGACCGGCATAGCCGCTGTCTCTTTATTCGCTGAACTATGTCAGTATTATCACATAGCTCGTACAGCTGATCGTTCCATCGTCTGCGGCATACGCCGTTTCCAATGCGCAAAGAACCATAAACCGTTCGCAAAACTTTTCTCTCGAAGACTTTCACAGGCGACTCAGCAGCTGTTGTCGTCATCCACGCCTCTGCGACATATAGTAGGACGGGTATAATTAGGGAAAATACTTTAGGGTGTACTTTTCACATGAGTACAATTGGATTTAAAAAAAAATGTTTCAATAGTTTTGTTCTTTATTGCATTTTTTATTTTAATTTTCTCACAGAAGTTCGTATTAAAGCAGAGTATTTTTTAATAAGAGCACAATAGACTTTGCGTTTATATACTGTGAGATCCTTCATATATGGGAAGATAGCAAATCACACGCCACAGATCGCACAGGAAGCTAGAATTGAGTAGTTGATGCCACCAGCTGTTCCTCTGCTTATCTACATATATGTAAAAGTATATACTCATATATAATATGTTGATAAAGACGTCTGAAACAGACATAAGGAGGCTGGTTGCTTTGTGACAATCTCTATGGCCTCCAAAAGGACTTTTGTGAATGAATGAGAGCAGTGACATTTAGAAGACAATTACTTTCTTTTTCGACAGGCAAGTATTTCATTCCACTTTTGATAGTATTCTTTTAGCTCATATACATTCAGTACAGCGCTGTTCCATGTTTACTCAAAGCCTCTAAAGTCAGCGTTTATTGATTCGAAATACCCCCGGCTTTCCTCAAAAAATCCCTCTAGTCACAGAATTGAAATCCAAATATTTTTGTATTTTCTTTAAAAAATTTTTTTGGCAGTTTCTTTTCTTCTTATAAAAACCACAAACCCATAAAGAAAATCTTTTAATATTCGAAGATATTATTTACTAATGCTAATCAGATAAATATGTTTTAAATTCACGCCAGAAACCAAAACAAATTGTTTATAGCATTTAGACAAATGCTTATATGCTTATCTGAGATTTTCTACATTTATGAATAATTTATGTAGCTATGAATATAAACTATTGAAGCTTAAAACTTAGTTTAACCATAACCTCCATTTTACATTCAATTAAGTCGAAGAATTAAAATTAATTGCAAAATCATACGCTACCCAAATCGAATAGACGCTCAACTTGAAGTCTTGACCTTTGTGGTGAAAAACAACAACAAAACAAAGTGTTTATGCAATAGCAAGGTAATTTACATATACACACATTGTATAAATATAAATAAACAAGAGGATCTTTATGAGTTATTCTTACCCAGCAATAAGTGCGATGGGTGTGACCGAAATGCAAAACCATTTAATTATCAACTTTGAGCGCTAACATTCTGATGGCCAGGGTTCAGGTTAAGGTTCAACCAAAATTCAGCTGAGTATATTTCTGACATGAAATAAAAAGCTGCTCATGAAAATCCATCGGCCATCTGGAGGCGGCTTAGATGAACTGCAGGCACCTCTAGTTTATTATAGCCAAGTGGTTACCACTGAGTACTGATATACGCAAAGTCCGGGCTCGTGTCTGACCAAATATTCAAAAATGTAGAAAACTAGTTTTTCTAGTCGGCGACGGATACCTAGCCAGGTTTCAGACAAGGCGACTTTTTTAGACCATTGCTGGAGAAAATAATATGAG